TTCATTGTAAAATCTCATTTTTACAATTTCATAGTTTCGGCTTACATTTATAGAACTAAACGAAAGCACGTACCTATTTCGGCTGAGTTATCCATTTTCGGTTATTTAGTGTACAAAATAAACGCAAATTAAATGAGTTTGTACAACATGGCCATTAATGTAGCGATAACTTGTACAACTTGCCAGCAAATCCAAATTTTTTGATCTTTCATACAACCGAGACATAAATTCATTCAACAGGCCCACAAACGGTGCATTCTAGAGCAAAACAACACCAAGTTGAACCAACGGTCGCTACGTTTATGGCTGTCTTTAAGAAACATCGGGCGAAAATTTCAACTGCTCTTGCAACACTATCTTATATAAGTTGGCCTTGCTCACATATGTTCATCACGGTATACCAACCAGTGATCGGACTTTAAAAAAAATCTGTGTGGTAGAATCTGGAAAAAATATGTGGTAGATTTCAAAAAAATGTGGTAGATCTCTGGGTTTGGATCAAACTTTGTACAAAAATCAAAAAAATTCTGCAAGATTTCACCTAAATTGCAAACTTTTTAATTAGACTCTAAAAAAATTTAATTTTAGTATAATAAAGCGCAAGATTGAACTTGCTAAAAATTGCGTTGAGTTTTGACAACTTTTTTCTTGACAGTGTAAAGCAGTTCCTTCCATATCAAGATATTTTTCGAACATACTTTAAGAAATTTCTGCAACCTTGTGGAGTGCTGCCAGCTTTTCTTTTTATCACATCACGAAGTAGCGAACAAATGTGGCACGTTCCAGAAACAGCTAATTGGGATTTTCCGATTTTGACAATTCTCAAGTAAAAGTAACCAACGCCTCAGAAACTTTAGATGCACTGAAATTTCCTATTACTTTCACAAAAATCGCCGTTTTTTAACCTTTTCGCTATTAATTAATTTTATAAATCATATATTCATTCTGCCTGTTGTTAGCGTTTAGTGTTGGTCAAATTTTGCTTTTAAAATTAAAACGCGAATGTGTGGTAGATTTCAGACCTTGAGTGGTAGATGTGGTAGATGCTCAAAAAAGTGGCAGATCTACCACAATATGGTAGAAGTCCGATCACTGATACCAACGAAGGACGAGTTAATACAAGGAGATAGCGATAGCACAAAACTACTCTAGAAAATTACACGCACAATGACACACATGAGCAAATGTACAACAAACACATAATTTTTGAAAATCAGTACAGTTCGCATCAACGAGCAGCTTTGCTAGCTCTAATTAATTTGTTTTCGTTTGTACTACATACATATCTGCATATATACATGTACACAAACATATGCACATACATAAATATATGTACATATATACAAATATATAAACCATTCAAACATATGTAC